CTAGTCCCGCAGATCGAAGCTAAATTCAATAAGTTGATAGACGCTGGATTCATTCTAGAAGTCAAATATCCAACATGGATTGCTAATATTGTGTCTGTCAGAAAGAAGAATGGACAAATTCGAGTTTGTGTTGATTTTAGAGATTTAAATCAAACATGTCCGAAAGATGACTTTCCACTTTTGATTACATAACTTATGGTTGATGCGACACGGGACATGAGGTCTTATCTTTCATGGATGGTTCCTCTAGATACAATCAAATTCGAATGGACCCTAAGGACGAAGAACTCACTGGATTTTGAACCCCCCAGGGAGTTTACTGCTACAGAGTAATGCCTTTCGGACTCAAGAATGCTGGTGTCACATATCAACATGCAATGAAAAAGATTTTGGATAATATACTACATAAAAAGGTTGAATGTTATGTTGACGACTTGGTCATAAAGACAAGAAGACGTGCAGAACATCTTGATGATTTGCGCAATATTTTTGAACGGCTTCAGAGATATCAACTAAAAATGAATCCCTTAAAGTGTGCCTTTGGGGTTACCTCTGACAAGTTCCTTGGATTTATTGTCAGGCATTGAGACATCGAGATTGATTAATCAAAAATAGAGGCTATTATAAAGATGCTAGAGCTTTGCAATCTACATAACTTGAAAAGTCTTCAAGGAAGGCTTGCCTATATACGAAGATTTATCTCAAACCTCGCCGAACGTTGTCATCTGTTCAATAAACTAATGAAGAAGGGTGTTCCTTTTGAGTGGGATGATACCTGTCAGATTGCTTTTGAAAATATCAAACAATATCTCATTCATCCCCCGGTCCTCGCAGCACCAATTCAAGAAAAAACCATTGATCCTTTATATTATTGCCCAAGAACAGTCATTAGGAGCACTCTTAGCACAAGTTAATGATGAGGGAAATGAAAATGCATTATACTATCTGAGTCGGACATTAGTAGGTGTAGAACTAAACTACTCACCTATTAAAAAGATGTATTTTGCATTAGTCTTCGCTACAAAGAAGTTGAGGCATTATATGTTGGCTCATGTTGTTCATCTCATTTCAAAATCTGATCCTGTCAAGTACATTATGTCAAGACTAGTTCTCTCGAGAAGGTTGGAAAAATGGTCACTTCTATTATCTAAATATGACATAGTTTATGTTCCACAAAAAATAGTCAAAGGACAAGTATTAGCTGATTTTCTTGCAAATCACCCAATCCCTGCAGACTGAGAGCTACCAGAAGAATTGCCAAATGAAGAAGTTTTCTTAATTGACTTTATACCATCTTGGAAGTTATACTTTGATGGTGTTGCTTGAAGGTATGAAGCTGGTGCAGGTGTGGTCTTCATTACCCCTGAAGATGAAGTATTGTCTTACGCAATTACCTTGACAGAGTCTTGCTCCAATAACGTGGCAGAGTACCAAGCTTTGATCATTGGCTTAGAAATGACACTTGATATGCAACTCTCTCAGTTGGAAATCTATGGAGACTCACAGTTGGTGGTTCATTAGGTTTTGGAATTGTATGATGCTCGCAAACCAGATTTGATTCCATATTGTCGCTATGCCGCTCAACTTATGAGTCAGTTTGATCGAGTCACCATTGAAAACATACCACGCAGTGAAAATGAATATGCTAATGCTCTTGCCAATCTTGCTGTTGTGCTTACAAAATCCTATTACCAAATAATTTCAGTTCTAGTTTGTCAAAGATGGGTAATACCTCCGTTACTCCCTGAAATGGAGGAAGTTACTACCATTTCAGTAGTGCAAGTTGAAAATGAAGATTGGAGGCAACATCTGATTGATTATTTGCAGTATGGAAGATTACCAAATGACCCACGTCATAGAATCGAGATACGGCGAAGAGCTCCTCAATTTATTTATTATAAAGACATCCTCTATCGTCGTTTATTTGATGGTATTTTCCTGCGATGTTTGGAAGAAGATGAAGCTGCTTAAGCACTCAAGGAAGCTTAATCTGGAATCTGTGGTGCTCATTAATCAGGGCCTAAATTACATTTTCATATAAAGAGAATGGGGTATTATTGGCCCACTATGGTGCAAGACTCGATGAGTTATGCTACGAAATGTCAAGCTTGTTAATTTTATGCCAACTTCATTCGCAGCCACCTGAACCATTACATCCTACAGTCGCATCATGGCCTTTTGATGCATGGGGACTTGATGTCGTAGGACCTTTGACTCAAAAATCGTCAGCAAGACATCTTTACATCTTAGCAGCAACCGATTATTTCTCCAAGTGGGCGGAAGCGGTTCCTTTTAAAAAAGTGAAAAAAGAGAATGTTGTCGACTTTATTCAAACAAATATTATATATCGGTATGGTGCACCTCGTTACATTATCACAGATAATGAAAAATCATTTGTCAATTGCCTCATAGCCAAGCTCTACATTAAATTTGGGTTTGTACAACATAATTCATCCATGTACAACGCACCAGTCAATGGACTCGCAGAAGCCTTCAATAAAACCTTGTGCAACTTGTTGAAGAAAGTTGTCTCCAAATCAAAGAAGGATTGACATGAAAGGCTTGGTGAAGCTCTCTGGGCATATCGAACAACATACCGAACTCCAACACAAACTACTCCATATTCCCTTGTGTATGACATTGAAGCTGTTCTTTCTTTGGAATGTCAAATTCCCTCCTTGCGGATCGCCTTACAAGAAGAACTCACAAATAAAAAAAATGTTCATTTATGTCTAGATGAGCTTAAAGCACTTGACGAGAAGAGACTAGATGCACAACAAAACCTGAAATGTTATCAAGCTAGACTTTTCAAGGCCTTCAATGAGAGGGTTTGTGTCCGATCATTCCAAATAGGAGATTTGGTCCTTGCAATTCGAAGACTCATTGTCATTCCGCATCGCACCGGTGAAAAATTCATGCCAAAATGGGATGGTCCATATGTGGTGAAAGAAGTCTACACTAACAGCGCATACAAGATTGTTGACAAAGATGGCTTAAGATTGGCTCAATCAATGAAAATTTTTTAAAGCACTTCTACGCCTGAAAACAAGCAACGCTCCTTTACACATGAGCCTAAACTGCATGTTACTCCTAGCCCGCATGAGTTAAAATTGTGCACGGCGCCAACCTATAAAAAAAAAAAAAACTTGTTGCTCCTAGCCCACATGAGCTAAAACTGTGTACAACTTGACCAAAAATAAAGGTTCATGCGCTTCTTTACGCACGAGCCTAAACTGCATGTTACTCCTGACCTGCAAGAGTGAAAACTTTGTATGGCTTAAAAAAAAAATTTACTTAGTTCTTAACCAATAAAAAAAACTTTTTTATTCCTGGCCTGCATGAGTTAAAATTGTGTACAACTCAACCAAAAACAAAAACATTTTTGCTCCTAGCCCTGCATAAGCTAAAATTGTGTATGGCTCAGCAAAAAAAAAATATTTCTTTCGAAATTATGTAAAAACTTAAACTTTTTTTTGAGATATCTAAATTATTTGAGAATCAATCTTTTTTTAGTACAATAAATAATAGCATAAAAAAAATTCAAATCTAAATATCCATATATATATATATATATATATATATATATATATATATATATATAAAGAATTACAATTGAGGAGTTATGAAATCATAAAAAAATTTTAACCCAATCGATCAAGGCTAGTGAAGCAAATTCCTTTTCTAACATAGATCGCATTTTGTCTATATCTTGTATCTCCTAAACACTACAAATATGAGACTCCTGGAGTTCGACACGTTCTTTCTCCATCACCACAATAGTCTCTTTAGTGTTTTATCGTTCATCACGAATGAAGTCAATGCTAGATGCTACCTCGGCCGTTTGATCTTGCAGTCACCAAATTTCATCATCAAGACTCAATAACTCTGCTTCAGATTTCAACAGTTGTTCTCTCAAGCCAAAAACTTTGAATTGCCCTCTTGATATCGTGCTATCAATTGTCGCCAACTTTCTATCTCTTTTTCTATAGGTTAAAACTTTGACGCTTTCTTGACGTTTTGAAAGGTACTCATCTACTTTCACAAGAAGACAATTCATTTTTCTCACCAAGGATTTGTGTCAACATAGAAAAGCTTTTTAAGAGTATTTTTAATTCTTGAAGACTTGGAAGTCCACTAGGTATTCAGTCCATAGAAGCCATTTTTCATAGCATAATCAAATTCACCCTTCAAATATGGGGGCATTCCGGTCAGAATTATTTTTTTTGCCAATTTTTTAGAAATAATTGCTTCACCAGGAGGACCTGACACAAATAAAGATATGCGATTAGTTGCATACTAATCGAAAGGACAACTAGATCAAGCTAATATACCTGAGATAGATGAAAATATCGACATTAGTCTTAGAGATCATGCTTCACCAGGTCCATAAGGCTCAAGAAGAGTATTCATAACATAATTATTAATAGTTTCTTACCTTGCTTATATAGCACATGAAGGGTTTGTTTTAGAATTAGCTTCCCCTTCACATGGATTGACATTTTCTCCATCAACCAAAAGAAGAATTTCACCACTGCCAGAAAGAATGGACATGGTTTGACGTTGTCATCAAATAAAGCTTCAATGATATCATTGTCAAGATTTTGGTCTTCACAAATACCTGAGATGGAATTTAATGTGGCAAGATCTGAAAGTGGAGGACAAAAAAAAAGGATAAGAGGTTTGAAATATAAAAAATAATGATAATAGTAATAAAATTTTGCAAGTACCTTTATTGCGGGATCACGGGGATAATTCTAAAAAAATTGATAAGTCATTTAGAGTATCACAAGATGGGTCAACCCTGCCTGTGGGAGACTTTGTAGTGGTATGATTTGCACCATCTTCTGACCGGGCACAAACCAAATTATGATCAGCTTTTGTAACTCTTGTTTGGCACCTCTCTTGAATTGTCTGCTTAGTAGAACCAAGATTATCAATTGGTACAATTGTGCTTGGAATCCTTCCACGATTTGAGCTTATATCCTATTTCTTGAAAATACCCTTGGACATGCGAGATGAAAAGAGTGCATGATCACATTCGTTTGATGAACTCACTTCAGCAGACTCTAGGATGTTTAAAGGATGAACAAATTGAACATTAGCTGATCTTGAAATAGGTGTTGTGACCTTTAACATCTTCGGAACTGGTTGTTTTTGGGAATTCAAACAATCCTTTGAAGTGTCCCATTTTCGAAGACGTGAAGGAGCTTTAGCCACTATAGGAAGGAATTTCCCCTTCCTTAACCCACTAGCTTGAGCTATGAATTTGAAATTCTCAGATTCACTAGCTAATAAGGTTTTACAATTGATGCCATCTAGGTGTGGGAGTACTTCATCTTTCCACCAGTTGTTATAACTACTGTCACATCGATTCTCAATGCGAGCAAAATTATTAAGGACATGGAATCCTGCCCCACTGTTTATCTTGGTTAAACTCAAGCATGCCTGATATAAAAAAGATGCATCAAATGAAATTATTGATGGATATGAGGGAGTACTTGACAATCGTTGAAGAAATTCATGCTGCCTAACAAAGCGATGTGGGTTATACATCTCAAGAATGCAAATTGGCCCATGACGATACATGACGTATCCGCCTCGCATATTTGTCATTAATTCAGAGGTTTCATCTGATCTTTGTCCATTATCTCGACGAGGCCCTCGATTTCCAGAATACAGAACTGGTTGCCAGCAAAAATATTGGAACTCATACTTCCACGTAGAAGATCTCGAAATCCTTTTGCTTCTTCCTCATAAAAAAGATAGGCATTTAGTGTACCTCTGAATTATCAAAGCAAAGGACGATCAAGCTTCTCATCAACCTCAGCATAAACTCCCTGAGGGAAATGCAACGCTGCCCAAGCATAAAAGTAATGACCTAGAAAAACATAACAAGCCATTCTGAGGTTCTTTTGATCATATCGGGTGCTGCATATCTCAGATAGACCTTTGTAAATGCTTGCAACAATAGGGGGAACCAAGCCATATGTGATTCCAGCAGCCATTCGGGAGGCAATCTTGAAGATAGTTGGACGAATAACATCATCTGATGAAGGAAATACAAAGCGACATAGCCATAAAGCTAAATAAGCTGCAATCTCTAAGTCTTCATATGTTGTGACATCAAGGTCAAGATCTAGAAGAATGAAGGGATCATCACCATTGACCTTTGTCTTCATATGTTATATTTTTGCCTGAATAGGTCTCACCAATAGTCGCTTTGTAAAAAATTTTCTATCCCTTTTAAAGCAATTTGTCATGACTGCTTTATATGACTTGCTCTTCTTGGGATCTGAAACACATGCACCGTACTTGAACCAAAAATCAAGCCAATCTGAATGACGGGGATGATTATCCCATTTCTTCTTATTAATTAAGACAAAAGCCTTAAACAAATGCAGGCAAGTCACAGGAAGAACACTAGTATCAGAGTCTCTCAACTCAGTTAAGCTTGGGATAACTTCTTCAAAACATTCACCACGGATTGAAAGACCGGTGACGTGTTGCATTTTCCAAAGTGAGATTCCAATTTCTCCTGCTCCCTTAACAAATGTATTTGTCTGTGGACACCAAACTTCACAAAAGGCGCGATATACACTGTTGGGTCGAGAATAATCAAAAGAAGCTGCATGCACAGCATAAGCAAGTTCGTCAAAACCCTTATCTAACAACTTGAGGTAAATTCGTTGAGACCAATCCCAAAACCCATTCAGATATTGAATATCTCTCATTGGGTTCAATGAACATCCCCACCTCGCAGTCCTCTGGTTGATCAGATCAACAACAAGTGATTTTGGGATAAGATGATCTTTGGAATGATACGAAGGCACACAAAGTGAGGGTAGTCGATCTGACTTAACCATGTCACTTTTGTGCATGTTCTCTGGCAGAGGATATTCACTAATCATCGGCATATGAAGTTCAGATTCATAGATTATTCTCGAGCGGCTACAGAGACCAATCATGGGTTCAAGAACTTTGAGTGATAATGTTGACAGCTCGTAGGTTCTGTAGTTTTTTACCACAACAGTTGGAAAACACAATACCATGTCTTTCAGAATTAGATCTTCTGACTCTGCAATCCACTCATCGGAAGGTAAGTTCTTTCTTTGACTTGAAATTTTGATAATTTTTTTCGATTTGACTTTTTGAGATGAGGCCATCTGAAAAATAATATGAAAAAAATAATAAAAATGTATATATATATATATATATATATATATATATATATATATATAAAATAAACCTTGATGCTATAAATAAAGTGGGAATAAAATAATAATAATATTTGCAATACAAGAATAGATAAGTCACCTAGGGCTGTTACAAAAGTCACCTAGGGTTGTTATGGAAGTCACCTAGGGCTATTATAGAAGTCACATTGGGCTGATACAGAAGTCACCTTGGGCAGTTACAGAAGTTACCTTGAGCTGTTACAGAAGTTACATAGGGCAGTTACAGAAGTCACCTATGGCTATTATAAAAGTCGTCTTGGGCTGTTACAGAAGTCACCAAAGGGCTGTTACAGAAAGCACCTAGGCCTGTTACAGAAATCACCTTGAGCTGTTACAGAAGTCACCAAAGAGCTGTTATAGAAGTCACATTGAGTTGTTACAAAAGTCACCAAAGGTTGTTACATAAGTCACCAAAGGGTTGTTATAGAAGCCACCTTAGGGCTGTTACATAAGTCACATTGGGTCATTACAGAAGTTACTTAGGGATGCTATAGAAGTCACCTAAGATTGCCACAGAAGTCATATAAGTTGACATAAAAATCACTTAAGGTGGTCAATAATAATAATAATAATAAATAAAATAAAACTCTTGTAACCAAAGCAACCTATAATTAACACAAAAGTTATAAACTGTCATTTAAAATAAAATTCTTAAGGAAAGCCAATTAAAATTAAAATTAATACTCTTGGAATAAAATTAATCAAAAAAAAAAATTGCCCACAGAACAAGATTTATTTATTTCTTGAAGAAAAAAAAAAGGTCAACTTTGTTAAAAAAAAATCACCTAAAATCAAGTCAGTAAGATAAAATTCTAAAGTCAAAAGGTTACCTAGCATAAATTTTTGGGATGAGGATATTCACGACTAACATTTTTGAAGAAAAAAAAATTATTATCCCAACAAGTTATCAAGAAATCATAAAAACACACACAAATTATGTTTTATTCAAAAAATAAAAAAATTAGGAAACAAGTCATGATCAAGAATAAGATAATTAAATATAATATATATATATATATATATATATACACACACACACACACACATTTATAAGCGCACACACACAAATCAAACCTTTTTATTAAATTGAATTGAGTTGACCTATGTGAAAAACTGCCAAGATATATATATATATATATATATAAAGTAATGACAAATTCTACAAATAGTCATTAGGGAACAATGTGGTTTTGATGTCATGAATGTCAAATTTACAAAGAAACAATTATAATCAAATAAATAAAAAAGGAGGGTATAAACGATCTAAAAAAAATTTACCATGAACAAATACTACAAGTTCTAAAAATTGCTACACAATAAACAATAAAAAGATGAATATTTGACACAAAACAAATTAGGAATGGCCTGCTAATTGTGTTCATCAAATTTTTGGTGGAACCATATAACTTAATCAATTGGGTCAATCAACTAAGAAAGAGAAAATTTAATTTTCATTAAGAAAAATACATTATTAATAGTAATGTTACAACAAGCTAACAAAGGTAGACATACCTAATAGACTTGAATCAAGTTGATTGCGTAAGGTTGGTTATAATTAAAATATCAATATGATCAAATAAATATAGGTTTTATAGGTTATAATTGTGTTTAAAAATATTTTTCATCAACTAAACATTAAAAGTTTATTTAGATTACAGGATATATCTATATTTTAGGTCTATGTGTTTAAGTAGAACAAAAGAATTATTATATATCTTGACCCCATGAAAATTAGAATTCCATGTTGTTTATGGTTAAGAATAATAATATGTTAAAAAATATATATAATTAAAAAAAAATCCAAATTAAATAAAAGTTCTTTCATAAATTTCTGAGTATAAATGAATATTTGAATGCAATAATAAAAAGATTCTCTAGTTTTATATTCATATCAATATGACCCACTAAAAATTGTTGTTTTGATTCTAGCCAAATTAAATTGATAAAGACTAGCACTTTGATTCTTATTAATAAGACTTAACAACAAAATAATATACAATGATATGTATGACTAAAATAATGGGGCAAAAAACCTAAAATAATAGGATCATTATGATATAAAAAATCTCATGTATACCTCATGCAAAAAAAGTGACAAATTTCATACACTTAAACATATTGTTAAGAATAAGACAAAAGATATTAAAAGAAAGAATGAAAACTGTGATGATTGATACTAACCATGAAGGCAATAAAAAATCGATTAACATGTTGTTTTTTTTTAATCAAGAAGAACATTTAAACTAATAATGATAATACTAAAATTTTAGTAAGTTTGAAATCAACAAAGTTACATGTCTAAAAAATCATTATGCTAACAAAACTAAACACCCTAACAATCAAAAACGATATATACATAATTAAACAACGAAAGAGTCATACCTTACAAACTTGATTCAAGGTCCAAATTTGTTGACTAGCCGGTTGATCATAAAATTTCGAGTACATATAGCCTCATATGTATAGACATTCTAGTTCTATGTATTTAATTTAAAATAAGAATTTGTTATCCTAATCATAGATGGATTAAAAGTCTATATTTTAGGACTCTATATTTGAATAAAAGAGATTTTTACATTAATCATAGATAAGTTGAAACTCTTTATGACCAATATGTTCAAATAAAATAGGATTGTGAAGTCCGTATGGTTTAGGATTCTATATCTTGTTTAAAGCTCAATATGAACTATAATTTCAATTAAAAAATATATGTGTATATATATGTAAAATTAAATTAAATTAAACTCCTTTTAAATCAAAATATAAATCGAGACCCATTTACATATTGATAGAATATTAAATATGCAAATAAGTCTCGAGGGAGCATTTGTAGACATTAAAAAATTAGTAAATAAAAGTCTATAATTGAACTCAAATCAATTAGATAAATAAAATTGGATTGGATCTAAATTCCATAACCTAAATAATACAAGTCCAAATTTGATTAATAAGGTTTGTCAAATTAAATTAAACTGGACTTAAATTCTATGGCCTAAATAATACAAGCCCAAATTTAATTAATAAGACTTGTCAAATTAAATTAAACTAGACCTAAATTCTATAACCTAATTAATACAAGCCCAAATGCAATTAATCAGGCTTGTTAAATTCAAATGGACTTAAATTCCATAGGCCCAAATTAAATAAACTTTCAAAAGGTAAAATGTGTTGGACTTAAATTCCATAAATTAATTAAAGTCTACAAATTTA